GAGGTTGCTGTGAGCTAGGATGATGCCACGGCACTCTAGCCCGGGCAACACAGTGAGACTCTGTCTCAAAAAAAAGAAAAAAAAAAAATACAGTCGAACGGCCGCTCCGGAAAGCGGGGTGGAGGGCTCGCCGAGCGTTGGGTGGTCCCGGGGGCCTGGGACGGGTGGGGGTCGCCTCTCTGCCTGGGGAAGTGCCGCCGGCCCGGGGAGGGGTCTGCCAGGCCCGGGGCTGGGGCCGAGGGCCGGGCGCTGGTGGGGAGGTGTGGTCTGGGGGCACCGGCTGTTGGGGACTGACCCGGCGCCAGCTGAGAAAGTGGTTCGGGTGGCGGGGCCGGTGGGGAGGGGGGGCTCCTATCCACGCGGACCCCTCTCTGCCCGCCCCGCTGGGCCCTCCTCTCCCTCCTCCCATCCTGGGTTTTGTTTTGAAAATGTCTTTCCTGGGCGTGGGGGCACATCCTCCCTTCTGATTTTTAAGAGGCTCTTGAGGAGCCTGAGCAGTGTCCCGGCGCCCTCCTGTCCCCCCCAACTCCCCTTGCGGGACAGAAGGCCAGAAATTGGGTGAGAGTCACGTGGGCAATATTTCAGGCTCTCATTTGGATACAGGCCCCTTCCGGGAGCAGCCTTGGGGTCCACGCCGGCTCCCGAGCCACCGGAGGCCACCCCATGGTCAGACGGACCACAGGGGACTTTCTTCGTCTCCTTCCCCCACGTCCAACAATTGCTTGGGAAGGTCTGAGTTCTGGTTGTGAAATTTTCAAATACAGAAATACACATTCTTCCGGTGTGTGCCCCAGCAGAGGGCAGGTCTCTGGAGACCCCCTAAGGGCCTCTCTTCTGGGCCCTTTCTGGGTTTCCTGGGCCCTCCCCGGGGAAGAGGCCGAGGTGTCTCTCTGCTTTGATTCATTTCCATGTGGCCGGGCTGCCAACCTGGGGACCCGCCACCATCGCTCCGGGCGCAGCAGCTCCCCAGGGAGGGCTTGCTTTGGGAACCTCCTTCTCCAGGAGAAAACATCTGGGTTGATGTGTTGGTGGGTGGGAAACACCTGGGAGAGGGGCTGGGGCTGGGGTCGGAAGTGTGTCTGCCTACCTGTGGGCTGAGCCTTCCTGCCTCTGCAATCTCTGGCGTCAATGACTGCATGTCCCACCAGGGTTCTGAACTTCTCAGGTTTGCGAGGGCCCCACTAGAGCCTGCGCCACCAACCCCTCCACACCCCCCACCAATTTCTCAGGGCATAGCGGGACAGAGCCACCGTGCTCCTTGTTTTGATTCATTTATTTTGGGGCTCATACCTGGAGGACGGGGGGCCTTGCAGCGTGGAGACCCGCGGTGGTTAGGAGACAGCGTGAACAGCATGGCCCACAGAGCCTGGAGGGCACAAGGTGGTGGGAACCACTGGGCTGCCCAGAACAGTGGCCCTCCAGTGCAACTGAAGAACTGATTTTGCATTTATTGATTTTAATCTGAAATCAAATGGCCCCGTGTGGCTACCGTGTTGGACAGGGCAGGTCCAGATTGCCAGGGCTCCAACCTCAGCGCTGCCACCACTACCGCTGTGCCTCAATTGTCCCATCTATAAAATGGGGGCAGAAGGGGATGACACTTGCGCTATGGAAGGTCTGAAGGCCCCTGAGTCATGTGTGGATTTCAGTGGTTCTCAAGCCTTGAAGTGTCAGACGTGAGACTCCCAGTGGACGAGGCAGGTGTGAGTTCCTGAGCCCTCAAGTCCCAGTGGGGTGGGGCTTGAGAATTTGCGTTTCCAGTGCGTTCTCTGGGAACCTGCTTCAGCGAACCAGGGCACCAAGGGTGTCTGCTCCTATGCACCCCCCGGGGTTCTGCTCCAGCCACCAAACCCTCGAGCCCCAGCCTCCTTCCGAGCCAGGTCCCCTCTTCTCTCTGTGCTCAGTTTTGGGATCCCAGTAACTCCTTCCCAGGCCCCTGGGGCCCAGCTCTCTGGCCCCACTGCCAGCCCAGGTCTCTCTCTGGCCCCAAGGCACGTCGCTCAGGGCCTGTCCTGCCCGGTTGGCCCAGGGAAAGAGACCTGTCCTCCACGTTCAGGGATCCCACAGGCTGGGAGGCCTCGAGAGCACAGCTGTGTCTTCCCAACACACAGGTTCATCTCTGTGCATCCCGAAGCCCAGGCCTCACCTGGCCACCCCCTGACCCAGGCCCTCACCTGGCCATTTTCCCCTCCCCCACCTTCACCTGGCTACTGCCCCCCCAGGCCTCACCTGGCCACTTTCCCCTCCCCCACCCTCACCTGGCCACTCCCTAACCCAGGCCCTCACCTGGCCACTTTCCCCTCTTCCACCCTCACCTGGCCACTCTCCCCTCCCCCACCCTCACCTGGCCTCCGCTCCCCAGGCCCTCACCTGGCCACTCCCCCTCAGCTGGCCACCTCCCCAGGCCCTCACCTGGCCACTCCCCCTCAGCTGGCCACCTCCCCAGGCCCTCACCTGGCCACCACTGCTGCTGCCAGCAGAGCATCCCCCCATAGAGCTCCGAGTGGCCTTGGGAGCATCAGTGGCTTCCAGGATGACACGCCCAGGTCGCCAGTCTCAGCCGCTGGGCTTTGCTATAGAGAGCCCCTCAGTGCTCTCTGTGGGGCCCTTGGCAAAGCTAATTGACATGAAATTGTATCAAAATTAAATTTGCTCCAGTAGGTCCCAATTAGGCCCTATAAGTCCGCCGAGCAGTCTGTCCTTTGGGGTCTGAACTTGCTCATGGGGTGACAGCTAGAAAACACATTTTATCTCTGACAGGCCCACCCCAGTGCCCCTTCCGGGCCTGCTGCCTGCTCCTGTCTTGGGGTGGGCACCGCACCCATGGCCCTCGACCCCCCCCAGTGGTCCCTGGATGTGCTTGGGACGCCTGGTCTACCTGTGCGGACGCCGTGAGGCGGGGCAGCCAGCCACGAGGCCCCCTGCCCCCCACTGAGTATCATCGGCTCTTGCTGTGACACTGCCGGGTGACAAGCAGCCCTCAGACGCCCGGGGACAAAGCCCGGTATTTCTTCTTGCTCTCAGGGCAGCAGGCTGACGGGGGTCACGTCAGACCGTGGGTCAGGTTCAGGTGGATTTCAGGGTCTCGTTCTCTGGGGCCTGGCCGAAAGGGAGGCGCTGTCGGGGTCCTCTTCCCTGGCTGGGCAGGGGCCACGCCAATCCGCGGGAGCACAACTGCGCCGCGCCTGCCGATCCCACCACCAGGAGGTCGGGCCTCGGCTCCCTCGGGGCGGGCAGGCACTGCACGGTGGCAGGGCGCCACGTGTGACCAGGTACAGGGAGGAAGTGAGGAATCGGGGCTGTGTTCTCATTTGTCACTGCAGTGACCCAGGTGACCCCAATCAGACGCCCGTCGGTCCTGGAATTGCAGCTGGAATCTGCCCTGAGCGGAGCGTCAGGCGATCCAACGTCTGTGTCCACCATCCCAAACGCGCCCCCTCGAGTAACTCCTGCCTCCGCCTGCTCTCGCCTGCTTCCGAGCTGGGCCCCAGCGTCCCAGCGTCCCGGCGTGCAGATCGGTGATGGCCTGTCATGGGCCTCTCAGCCTCCACAGTCTGACTCCCCTAATCAACGCCCTCTCGTCCACCCATCCATCCATCTTTTTTATCTTTCTATCCATTAATATCTTTCCATCTATCTATCATCTGTCCGTCGGCTCTGTCTCTCTGGACAGCTCTCACTCCCACAGATGTGCTGAAAGGGGAGGAAAGGAAGCAGAGCTGAGCCTCCTGCCTCCCCATTCACCTCAGGACACGGCTCCTCCCAGCGTCGTGCAGTGTGCAGCTTGCACAACCGTCCAGAGTGGCCCTGGAAGCCCTTTCCTCCCCATTTCTCCAGCTGAGAAAGTCCCTCTGCTGCCCTACGGACGAGTCGGCCGGGGCTGGGGTGGAAGCAGCGAGTCAGTGAGGCTGCTGCAGGCTGCAGGTGGGAGGCAGGGGTGGCT